TCTGGAACCTAGGGCCTCTGGCTCCCGTGAATCACCTCTCTGCTTTAAATTGAAGAACAATATGATCGGTGCTGTGATTGGTCGCGGTGGATCGAAAATCAAGGACATCCAAGGTACAACAAACACTAGAATTCACATAATAAAAGGTGATACTGAAGCAGAGGTAAAAATTTTTGGCAGCCATACCATGAAAGAAAAGGCCAAAGCAATCATAGAAACTGTTGTTAAAAAACAAGAGGAAAGTTACAATTGCGAATACAGGGTTAATACAGTTGCTGCCCAGCCTTCTGCTGGAAGAGATTTAAGTAGAAATAATGTCAGCAGAGAAGTTCAGCCACCGATAGATTGGGATCAAATTCGGGTAGAGGCCGCCGAATGGGAGAACAAGAAATGGGCAGATTTACCACCAATTCAGAAAAATTTTTACGTAGAATCCGTATCAACAAGTTCAATGCCTCAGATGCAAGTAGATAAGTGGAGACAGGATAATTTCAATGTAATGTGTAACGACTTGAAAGATAGTGGAAAACGTCCTATTCCCAATCCAACCTGTACTTTTGAAGATGCCTTTAGAAGTTATCCTGAAATTATGGCCAGCATTAAAAAAGCAGGTTTTCTAAAACCAACACCAATTCAGGCACAGGCATGGCCAATTGTTCTACAAGGAATAGATCTTATAGGAGTTGCCCAAACTGGAACAGGCAAAACACTGTCCTATTTAATGCCTGGGTTTATTCATCTCAAGTTTCAACCAACAGCTAGCCACGAACGCAAGGGACCAGGCATGCTAGTCCTTACACCCACTAGAGAGTTGGCCCTTCAAGTGGAAGCTGAATGTTCTAAGTATTCATATGAAGGTCTTAAAAGCGTTTGTATATATGGAGGTGGAAATAGAGAAGCCCAAATACACGACGTTTCCAAAGGTGTAGATATCATCATTGCAACTCCTGGCCGACTAAATGATTTGCAAATGAATAACTTTGTCAATCTAAGAAGCGTAACCTATTTGGTGTTAGATGAGGCTGATAAAATGCTAGACCTAGGGTTTGAACACCAGATAATGAAGATTTTATTAGATGTGCGCCCAGATAGGCAGACCATTATGACTAGTGCAACTTGGCCAGACGGTGTCCGTCGACTAGCACAATCTTATTTGAAAGAGCCCATGATTGTATATGTAGGTACTCTGGATCTAGCTGCAGTAAATACAGTGAAACAAAATATAATCATTACCACGGAAGAAAAGAAACGATCTCTTATCCAAGAGTTTCTAGAAAACATGTCACCCAAAGACAAAGTTATCATATTTGTCAGCAGAAAACTTATTGCTGATGACTTGTCAAGCGATTTAAGCATCCAGGGTATACCTCTTCAGTCTATGCACAGCAACAGAGACCAGAGTGATCGTGAGCGAGCATTAGAGGATTTTAAAAGTGGAAAAGTGAAAATACTGATCGCTACCGATTTAGCATCCCGGGGCCTTGATGTTCATGATATCACACACGTATACAATTACGATTTTCCACGGAATATCGAAGAGTATGTCCACAGAGTGGGGCGCACTGGAAGAGCAGGGAAGACTGGCACATCGGTTACCCTTATCACTCAAGATGATTGGAAAATCGCCACTGAGTTGATTACAATTCTGAAAAGAACAAATCAGTTTGTCCCAGACGAACTTGTGGCACTGGCTGAGAGATATAAGGCGTATAAACAACACAAGGAAACAGAAAAACAATCAAGAAAATCTCAAAGAAAACCTAAGGAGTTTTATTGATAACTACACTGAACAGTTGCACCAGGCTACTAAAAGACTCAAGA